ACTCTTGCTCTCATTCACTGTAACCCCTTACGTGCTAGTGGCACTCCCGACTTGCTTGGGCTGAAAAGCTTAAAAAAGCCCAAAATAACTGATCTTTGCAGCTACACGAACGCCTAAGACAACGTTTTTCCCTCAATAGGATATATATAGTATTCTTGTGGATGGCTATACGTTCTTTTGGGATAGTATGAAAGTTAACAACTTGTAATATATTGGAAAACAGGTGATAACTCAATAACTTTTAGGGTTTGCTATGTCATTCACTTTTGGTAGCAAGTATGTGACATTTTGGGAGAACCATTCAGCTTATGTGGGCCCAAACATCATTTTTGTTATGGTCCAAGTTCCTTGTACCACGGTGATAGTCCAAGGTTAGAACTAATGAAAGAATAACACAAACACAGGTATGGTATACAAAGATATTTTACAACAGAAATATAATACAAAGAAGTAGAAGTATTAGTAATGACTATCAGATTTGGTTAGAGTGAACTATGTTGTCTCGACAAGTATCACTATTCCAATCGCCTTACAATATGCTCTCAATTATCTCTCCTCATCTTACAATATCCTCATACCTCTTGAGAGGCGCAGTATTTATAATGTCAGGAATAGTTCATTATTATTATGGGAAAGTTCCCATAACAATTTTATTATTGTTTTCATAATGATATGAGTAGCAGAGAGTCAAGCCATAAGCTTTTAGTTTTCTCAATTCCTGTTGATTTCTACTTGGGTGACTAAGTTAACGCTTGATTTCTTTTCTTGGAATATATTGCTATTCTTCAATGTTTTCCCGCATTTTTCTCCAGATCTTTTAACCATTGAGCATATATGTATTGTGCCACTTATCGGCACCTCATATGTTATTCCAGAATAAACTTATTTCTCTCTTTCTGTTTTCTCTATTGTAACTCTTTGGCTTCTTATATCGTTGTAAAATTTCTCTGAGTCTGTTTCAGATATCCTGTTATGTCTATAGATTTTTTTGCGTATCTTAAGCCTAAGGAGACGTTCAGCTTTAACTTGGATGTTTTTTTTTTGGTTCAGTTAGTCTTTCAATCGGGGCATTTTTTTTTCTTTACTCTGTAATTGATATCTTCTCTTAACTTTACGTACTTTAGAAGATCTTAGTTCATTATTCTTATGAATTTTCTCCAAAATAGATATTTCTGCCCTCATTGTTTTTATATTTTCCTCCATGTTTAACTTCCATCTTGGTTTCTTATTTGGCCTGCGTTTCCGCCTCTTCTGGTTTCTTCCACGCTTTGACTAAAGAACTTTTGCAGTTGCATATATCAGTTTGTTAAGTCAAATTGGGTTTTCTTGCAAGGCATATTTGACTTGACGTAAAAGTTCCAACATAGGCTGTATTTTTAAACATATGCATATTTCTGATTTTCAAAAGAGTCTCTTCAGCAGACATATCAATGTGGCCTACTTTCAATAAAGCTGTAGTTATTTCTGCCTTCATAAATCTAATATCATATATTTTTAATCGGTATCACCCCATGAAAGGCAGTAAAGCCACTAAGCCACAAGAGGTTACAGGGTGTGTTAGAATTAGGGACAAAAACTTTAACAATAATAATAGAGGGAAGCGTAATAAGGATGACAGTAGATAACGATTGACATTGCATTTAAATTATTATAGATTAAAATTAGCTGGAAAGTATGGTGGCGGAAAGGAGTTCCACAAGTGAGAAGTGTGAGAAAAGAAACTGTCACCATAGAATTTACGGTTACATCTAGCCAATTCAACTTGAGAACTTGACGCCAGTCTAGTGCTACGCTTAAATTTAAAAAAAAAATGTCTAGGCGCCATAGTAAAGAGCTCTTATGAACAATTACCATGAAAGTAATATACATATTCTTTTTACAAATTTGGTTGTTTCATGATTACTTTCAGCTATATTTTCATCTCTCTTGTTCTCAATTTCATTCGATTTGTCAATACTTATCAGGGTGTCGAGGCCTTCATCAGATTAGTTTGTGTTCTCGCTTTCAACATCGGTCTCCAGCTATTCTTTGTCTTGTTTGGTTTGGCACTCAACTCTTCATCTAATTTCTACTAATTCAGCTTATCTTAGGTACTTTTATTTCCTGATATGTCGTCAGACATTTGCTAACTTGCATGGGTCTAAATATTTTCTCGTACTTATTTCTTTTGGTAGGTAGATTTTAGTAATTTTTTTTCCCTCACATTTATTTAGTGTTAAGTAGAAGCAATGCTGTTATATAAGAGTAAGTGCCGTTGCCGACACTGTGGTTTGAAACTGGATCGCCAGTGAGTAACATGGGCGATTCCATTATTAAGTACATCACGTGATCATAAAGGAAGTGAATAAATAGGAAGTAGCATGATGTCTATACAATCACTCTTCACTCTTCTTGTCTTATCCACTATTACTATACGTTCACTCTCTACTATTATACGGATTATGATTCTCTTCTGATCATTGCACTATTTGGCAATTACTACTTGAACAAGTATTACTAGTGTGGATATTATTGGAAGGCATTACTGCAAGTACCGGCGTCTACGAAGTCTCAAATATAACGAGCATTTTTGGAAGTGATAACGAACTTTCGCTTGACATAACAAAAGTGACAAGCGAAGCCGTCCATCATCACAAAAATACAACACATCTTTATATTCTTCCGTTGACAAGTTACTTTTTTGTTTTTTGACCTCTGGTTATGGTGGACGTGGAGTGTCAGATTTGACGGTGACCTCGTTCTGGTGATCTGTCAGGGTTTTGTTTCTCTCAGAAATCATTCACATCTTCATAACGCAGAGATCATTGAAGCTCGCTACGAATAACACTTTGAGTTGCGGGTTTTTATTCAGTTTTCCTTCTCTTGAGTGTGTTGCCATTCAAAGTTGAAGATTCCTTGCTCTTCTTATTATTATCGCAAATAAGAACGACATGTCACTTCGAAGCTCCGAAGAAAGCCAAAATGTCACACATCTTAACGGGATGGCTTTTTTTAAAACTTAAAGTAAAATTTAAAATTTTAATTTTAAAGTAATTATAATAAAAGAATTTTTAAACGTCTACTTCATATACCGTATATTTCCGCATAAAAGGCGACCTTTAAATAAGACGAGGTAAAAATATAGCAAATTTTCATGAATTTATCCTATATCGGTAGTTTTGAATTTTGTCAATTCCTGGTGATTTCTACTTTTGAGGCTTGGTTAACGTATGCTTTATTTCTTTTCATGTAATATATTGCCATTTCTTTTCTTGGGATATATTGCCATTTGTTGTTCTTGGGTGCTTTCCCGCATTTTTCTCCAGATCTTTTAACCAATGAGCATATTCATTGTGACATTTGCCTGCTTATTGATTATATAAAGATGATGTTATTGGAAATGTTGTTACTTACTGTTTCCTTAGAAATTAGAAAAAAAAACGCAAAAACAAAACCGATTCGATATTATGTTTTTCCTACACACGTCCCCTAAGAGGGAAACCATTGCTTTGTTTACATTTCATCACGTGATCTCTTGAGAACACTGATTCTTCTTGTTCTTTTCCACTATCTAAACAGTTACAAACAGCCTGGTGCACTAATGTCCATTTACTTATACTTCATCGACAATCACAAAATACCGCTAATAATAGCGCCATAATAGTACATTCCATTGCTGTGAACGCATTCGTAACTAGATGTTTACATTTTCCAAGCTGTGCTTGCAAGGATACAAGTTGATTTCATTGATATGGAATTATTCTTCGAATAGGTAATTTTTTATTACATTTTCTCTCAGTTTATTTGATAAAGTGAATGTTTTTCTCTATATATGACAAACAACACTCAGAATATAAGGTTTCTTTTTTAGAATTGTTGTCTAAGACGACCCTTAATTTTTAAGGGTGATTATTTGGGATTTAAAGGTCGTCTTATACACGGGAATATACGGTATTTATTTATATGCAGATTTCCTCTTCTTTATTACTATTATTATTCTTATTGGTCTGTTTTGATCTTTGCTATTGTTACTATTATCATGGTTATTTCTAATATAAATTAAAATAATCTCTCATTTAAATTCACCTAAATAAGTCCTTATTTCTCTTTATTGCAATAATATGGAACATATTTCCTCTAAAGGATAATTAAACTATTGTTTAATTGATCATCTTATTATTTACTATTTGTTTATCTTTATTATTTCATAATGAAAAAAACAAAGTTATATGTACGAGAGGAGATATAATTAACAGAAACATCATATTGAGGAACACAAACGGTAGAAAGAAAACATTACATTTTGCTACATTTTGTTGAATCCGAACGAAATGAGGAAATAGAAAATGAAACTACTTATTTTTTTCCTTCGCCTATACTTAAAGAACCTCTACCCAATATGAAGGTAAGACGAAAGAAAAACACCATAAGTAGAGAGTCACTATTAGTTGGGCAAAATAACTCGGCGTTGGCATCCTGGTGAGTAAGAAAACGGAAATTGAACTATCTATATTTACTGGGAAGTTGTCCCAGTAAGCTAATTAATATATAAATATATATATATATATATATATATATATATATATATATATATATATATGTGTGTGTGTGTGTGTGTGTGTGTGTGTGTGTGTGTGTATATATATATATATGTGTATATATGTGTGTGTGTGTATATATATATATATATATGTGTGTGTGTGTATATATATATGTATATATGTGTATATATATATATATATATATATATATATGTATATATATATATATATATATATATATATATATATATATATATATATATATATATATATATATATATATATATATATATATATATATATATATATATATATATATATATATATATATATATATATAGATAGAATATATAATGAGACGTAGGGCTCACACTTACACATGTGTTCAAAACCAATCAACTTTGTCAAGTGTCTTGTCTTTTTGAAAAGGAAGTTGTTTTCCCTTCAAAAAAGAAGTAACTTTCAGATTTTTTTTTATGTCTAAAAGCCCTCCCCTATTTCCGCCCGGTCGATCTTGAAGGTCAAACAGATAAAGAAAGAAAGAAATGCTTGAGGAATAAGATTTCATTTTTTTTCTTCTTCTTTCAAGGTAGATACCTAAACCAATCCACTCTTTAAAAGAGTCGATATCTATCAAAATTGACATGATAGAAATGAAATATGGTATATGCAGCTATGTAATATATTGCCATTTATTTTCTTGTAATATAATGCCATTTCTTTTCTTGGAATATATTGCCAATTGTTGTTCTTGGATGCTTTCCCGCATTTTTCTCCAGGCCTTTTAACCAATGAGCACATTCATTGTACCATTTGTCTGCTTATTGATTATATAAAGATGATTTTATTGAAAATGTTGTTACTGTTTCCTTAGAAATTCAAAATAAACGCAAAAACAAAACCGGTTCTATATCATGCTTCTCCTACACATGTCATTTAAGAGGGAAACCATTGTTTAGTTTACGTTTCAACACGTGATCTCTTGCGATTACTGATTCTTCTTCTTCTTCTTCTTCTTCTTCTTCTTCTTCTTCTTCTTCTTCTTCTTCTTCTTCTATATCTAAACAGTTACAAACAGCCTGGTATACTAATAGCCATTTACTTATACTTCATCGACAATCACAAAATACCATTAATAACAGCGCCATAATAGTACATTCCATTGCTGTGAACGCATTCATAACTCGATGTTTACATTTTTCCAGCTGTGCTTGCAAGGATACAAGTTAATTTCCTTCATGTGGAATTATATATATAGGTAGTTTGAGGAATATCCATTTTTTTCTCTTCTTTCAAGGTAGATATCTGTCATGGATCCTTACCTATAACTACAGAATGAACTCTTCCTAGCACTATGTATGCTACGCCTCTCAAGAGAGAGGGTCGAATCGAGTCGAGCCGATAGTAGTTCACTCCAAACCAGACTGACAATCATACTAACACCTTCCACATCTTGTATTATTATTTGGTGTGTTTCTACTCTTGTGTTCGTGTTGTTTTTCCTTGGTCCTAACATGGACCATAATAATATCTAAACAAATTCACCCTTTAAAAGATTCGACATCTATCAAAATTGACCAGATAGAAAGCAAATGTAATACATGCAGCTATATATGTGTGAACAAATATTTTAAATGAACGAAAATAAAAGGAAGAATTTATAATATAAAAATGAATAATAAAATAATTTAATAGAATTATATCAGATGAAGTAAGAAAGAATAAAAATACACCAGGAAGAAAATATATCTGGGGGAAAAACAGAATCAAAATACATCTGGAGGAAAGCAGAATTAAAATACACCTGGAGGAAAGCAGAATTAAAATACATCTGAAGTAAAACAGAATGAAAATACATCTGGGGAAGACAGAAGAAAAAGTGAAAATATATATAAAAAAAAATTGAATGAAATAATACTCCGGGAGGGAATCTAAGAAAATAATGAAAATACATCTTGAGGAAAAGAGAATGGAAAATATTAAAATATACTTGGAAGAAAAGAAATAGGAATAATTAAAATGCATTTGAAGGAAATTATGGAAATACATCTGGAAGAAAAGAAAAGGAAGAAATAAAATAGAAATGGAGGAAAAGAGAAGGAAGATAAATACCTCTGAAGATGACCATAGATCTGGAGAAAAAGATGAAAGAATTAAAATACATCTGGATAAGGAAGGAAGCAAAATACATTTGCAGGAAAGGAGATGGAATGGATAAAACTAAAGGAAAAGCAAATGAAAAAATGAAAATACATGTTGATATGACCAAACAGCTAGAGAATGGAACGGATGAAAATAAATCTGCAAGAAGAGGGGGAATAGTGAAAATACATCTCGAAGAAAAGAAAAGGAATGATATAAAATGCATATTGATGTGACAATGCATCTGGCGGAAGAGAGAAGGAAGAAATAAAACATATATGTAGGAAAAGTAAAGAAAACAATGAGAAAGACGAAGAGAACAAAAGAATGAAAATAAATCTAGAGGAAAAGAGAAACAACGAATTAAAATACATCTAGAGGAAAGAGAAGGAAATAAAGATGAATAGATCTGGCGGAGAATTGAAGAAAGAAGATACATCTGGAAGAAATTAAGAAATACATATGGAGGAAAAATAAATGGACGAATTATTAATCTTCTGACAGAAAGAATATAAAAGAAGAAAGTACATCTGGAGGAAAAGAGAAGGAAAATATGAAAGTAGGTCTGGATAAAATTATGAAAATACATCTGAATATAAAGAGAAGGAAAAAAAATGAAAATACATATGGAAGAAAGGAATTCGAACGAAAACACATCTGGAGAAAATGATTAAAATACATCTGATGGAAATGATCAGGAAAAATTGAAAATGCTTAAGTGAAGGAAAGAATAGAAATATATTTGTAGGGAAAGGGAAGGAAAGAATTAAAATGCATCTGGAGGGAAATAATATATCTGGAAGTGACAGTGTATTTGGAGTTAAGAGAGGGAAAGGATTGAAATACATCTGAACGAATGAGAATGAAAATACATAAGAAAGGAACTGAAAATACAACTGTAGCAAAATTTAATGGAAATGATTAAAATACATCTAGGGGAAAAAGAAATGAAAGGAGGAAAACAGAAAGAAAATAATTAGAATAAATCTGTAGGAAAAGTGAAGGAATGCATGTCGCTTCATCTGGAGGAAAGTGCATATAAAGACAAATAATGGCAAGAATAAAAATATATCTGTAGAGAAAGGGAAGGAATGAAAATACATCTGGAGGAAAAGAGAATGGAAAGAAATAAAATACATATGGAAGAAAATAAATGTAGAATAACAATACAATAAACAGCACTTACCGGCGTAAGGGTCCCAGCTAGCGTCCAGCTGGCAGGCAAAAATAAAGCAGGTTGTAACTTAATACAAACCCTGCAAACTAACTGATGAATCAAGCTGGTATTTATATAGAAATACTTCCACTCAGGTACCAGCAGCCAATCACAGCCCAAGCAATGGACTATCCCACTTTAGCACAATTAGATGCTCCATGGCGCCATAAATAGCTCTTTCTCAAGGTTGAATTACTATTCACTTAGCTTGTTCCACAACTGAGTGTTTATCTCGACCACGTGATTTTTCTACAATAAATAATAAGAAAACACATCTAGAAAAAATGATGAAATTACAAATGGAGGAAATGATGAAAATACATCTGGAGGAAATGATGAAATTAAAAATGGAGGAAATGATGAAAATACATCTGGAGGAAATGATGAAATTACAAAAGGAGGAAATGATGAAAATACATCTGGAGGAAATGATGATAATATATCTGGGGGAAATGATGAAAATACAAACGGAGGAAATGAGGATAATATATCTGGGGGGGAATGATGAAAACACACCTGGAAGAAATGATGAACATACATCTGAACATAAAGAGACGGAAAGAATAAAAATACAGCTGTAGGAAATGAGAATGGAAATGATTGAATACGTTTGGAAGAAAATAAATAGAAACAACGTAAGACATCTGGAAATGATAAAAATATATCTGGAGGAAAAGAGGAAAAAATAATACATCAGGTACCTGGAGGAAAGATAGATATCACATGTAGGAAAAGAGAAGGAAAAAATGAAAATATATCTGGAGCAAAAGAGATGGAACAAATTAAAATACATCTGACAGAAAAATAAAAGATTGAAATATTTGAATATATCTGAAGGAAAAGAGAATAGAAAAGATTAAAATACATGTGGTGGAAATGATGAATACATATCTGGAGGAAAAGAAGAGGAAAGAATGTATACATCTGGATATGAATTATACACCAGGATGAAAGAAGAATGGATACAAATACATTTGGAGGGAATTATGGAAGTCATTTGAAGGAAAAGATTAAAATACATCTGGCGTAAAGAGATGGAAAGAATAAAATTATATTTAGAGGAAAAGAAACAGAAAGAATGAAAACACATGTGATGGAAATCCGAATGAAAATACATCTGGAGAAATGAGAAGAAAACAATAAAAACAGATCTGGTAGAAAAACAAGGTAAGTATGAAAATACATCTGGAAAAAATGAGGAAAATACATCTGAAGGAAACAAATAACAGTACATCTGGGGGAAAAGAAAAGGTAAGAAAAAAACCGTGTGTAAAATAAACGTTATTTTCATTCTACGTTAAGTAAAATGAAATCATTAATTTTAGAAAATTCAGCTAAGTCTTAACTTGACTAACAGACTTCAAAACCCATCTTTACAACAAATAGTGGATTTTAAAGAGAATTTTACATTTATTGTTTACATTTTATCGTATAAAATTTCGGTTCTATGAGTCGATGAGTGACGGAAAAAAGTGCCAATGTTTTAAAAATGCCTAAAAAGTTTATTTATATTCAGAAATTATTTTTTCTTTTAATTTGGATGACTAGGCCATTATCTTTCAAACAGAACCGAAATTTAAGCTCAAAGAAAGCATTTAAATTATTTAAAAGGCGTTTATCGTTTTTAATTTTTTTGCTTTTTTGTTTCTTTTTTTTTGGTGGTGGGGGCCGATATACTTATCGTCTACGATCTACGATGTAAAAAACGGTCTTCTTAAGGGTTTCTTTATATGAAGTCGGATCTTATGGAATACTAGTAACTCATAACTATGTAATATATCGAATGCTAATGCATAACCGTAGCAGTATTAGAAATATATTTTAATGGTCTGCTAGTACGATCGGTATTGGTTTACAATGAAATTCTCGTGAAAACAGAGCATACCCCTAAACTCCTGAAGTACTCGACAGAAATAGATTATACGTCGATTTTACATTTTTTCCAAACACATGTTAACCTGATTCGGGGGTTATTTTACGAATAAAAACCTTATTTATGACCCTACGTCTGCTTACCTTTTCTACCTATCGTATATTATATAGTATTAGTATACTTTGTTTTCTTTTCTGAACTTATCTTGAAAAAAGGCACTTTCTTTAGTTTTTGTTCGTATAAAGTCGC